AAATTGGCGTGCTACCTGAAAAACTGCTAGATACAAGTGAAAGTTCATGCTATTGGTTTCGCAAAGCAACGTTATGTGTATGTACTCACTCTGGTGTCATCAGCGTTGGGTTGGCCTTGGAACGCGGTGCATGAAGGCCCGAGCGTTTCCGTCCAAACACACAGGTAAGATCCACAGACAGCGGTCATCACCATGGCTACGTTACTCCCGTCTTGTATGTCTGGAACCAAATCAACAACATGCCGATCGAGGTTGTTAAGACTATGTGGTATGTGTAGTCTTTCTCTCTCTTCTCTCTCTCTCCTCTCTCTTTCTCTCTCTCTCTCTCTCTCTCCTCTCTCTCTCTCCTTCTTCTCTTCTCTTCTCTCTCTCTCTCTCTCTTCTCTCCCCTTGACAGCCCGTCAGTATCAATCTATGGCAGGCAGCTCACTGATCAGTAATAGTGACCCGACAGTGAAGAATAATATATTATACTAGTTTGCTTGTTCCAGAGGTGGATCAATAGCTAAGTGTGTTAGGAGGGACACACCAAGCTGAACAAATACTGACACAGACAGACCGACTGTTGTGCTCGCCTCGCGTCTCTGCGTTTTGGCATGTGTCGCACTGGAACCACCGCAAAGACTTCAGCGACGCCAAGTTGCACGTACGAACTGCGCTTCTTGAGTGGCAATAACTCTCCTTCAGCAGCGGCGGTAGTGTGTATTCGTCATTCAAAAGAGGCAGACAACCCGGAGACAGCTGCATGATAACCGAGAGAAGAACCGACTGCGTGATTAAAAAAACAACAAATAGCGTGTGCGTTCCATTTTCACTCTCGCGAGGAAAGCTCATGGGGCTTTGCCCGAACCTGTGTCGAGAGTGGAGTTAAATTAAATTCGCAGTTTGCCTTCTTATAGGTTGTTCATGTCGCCACTTCGTTTAGCTTCTCATGCACCTGATTCGCTAAGCCTGAACAGCCAACAGAGTGTTTATTGACAGAAAGTGTGTCGCATGCCGAAACAAGACACAACGGTGCGGACACACCAATCTGAGTAGGGCAACAGACGCTCATCGTCGGCCTGCATCAATCCGATGGCAAAATCGGCTTTAGTCTAACTCTTAGTGTGGTGTTGCTCCGCTCACAGTTCGTCACAGCGGGTGGAGCTGCGGGATTCCTGCCCTTCACACACGTTGCTACCGCTATTTTACTGTATTTTCGGACACCTTAAAATACTGCGAGATGGTGAAGCCATTTTGGCGAGCCTTGTTTTAACGCACATAGAAAAAAATGTCATTTATTTTACGTCATGTGATCGGCTCTCCCGATCGGCATTTATAGAGAGCACCGATCGATCGGCCGATATCGATCAGCGGCCGATCGATCGGAGCATCCCTAGTAGGAACAGACCTTCAGGGAAACATATTTGAGTCAGAAGAAGGTGAGTTCCGTGAAGGGTCTCTAAAGGTTTGTGTGCTCACATTCCATATTTTAGAATTGATTGTTGGCTAGACCCCTCCCTCCCTCGGCTGCCCAATGATAGCTTAGCATCTGTACAGTAAATAGCCTATTTCCATGCAACCATCAGTTGTGGGGTATAAGTTAAAATAGACATCCTGAAATTCTCCTGAAAACACTTTTGAAGCCGCCTTTAGGCACTAATTACCAATAATAACCATCTTAAATGTAAGTAAGTTTAATACATTTTAAAGTTGCAGAGTATGTAGATATTTATTACGGCCAGGATTTCTTCATTCTTTTTTGATTATGGTGCATTCACATGATACGTGGTTTTTTCTTAGCTCACGAGGTCTGGCGCGGAGAAAACAGCCAGTTGGTTTCATTTGTATGGTTACGTTCCCTGCTAGCTTGCACCATTCCATACAGCTGTCACATGATGGTTTTGCATCTAAAGGTCAGCAGAAAATGATGTCAAAGTTTAAATAATTTAAACTTTTGAGCACATTGCTGAGGGAACATTTTGAGCGATGATTGACGCCAATGCTTCCGCCTCGTTGTTATGTTCCAATAAAAACTTAAAATCCAGAACTCAGATGAATCAAATATTTTACCTTAATATAAAGTTAAAACGACAAAGGTCTAAGATGTGTTTCGCTACATGCAGCTTAACTCTGGACATAAAATACATCAATGTCAGCTTATGGCAAGGAATTACAACAACAACACATGCGCTAAGTCGATAGGACGACATTACAAGCATCTAACAAATGACTGTTAACTTGATTAAAACAAATAATAGTTGGTAACATTCGGGATAATGCAAGTACGGAAGCCTCTAGGAAACCTAATGCATATTGGGGAATAGTTTTAAACGGACTGCAGACAATAGGAAAGGAGGCAGCTTGATGAAGAATTTGCAATGAGCATTTACAGCTGCACATTTTTTTTGTAATATTTATTAAATGTGGGAGTTTGGTTTAGAAGCCTGGAGCCACATTTCTGGGGTTAGGGTTGGACAGTCAGTTTGTGTTTAAGGGTTTTCTGAGGTTTTCAGAAGAGAAAAATAAATAATTGAGAGGTTGAAATAATGTCACAGAAGGGCAAAACGCAAACACTAAATTATTTAAGACATGGTGTGCTCCGTGTCTTCTTATCTGGCACTGATAACATCTTCATTTTTTGTACCAATGTTCCTCCCTGTTGCATCTTTGTCATCACCCATCTCTATTATCTGCTCTATATGTCTTTTCTTCCCTATTTCTTTCAAATAATGAATTCTGTCTTCCTTTCCTTTCATCCTTTGGTCCTATCTCTTCCTGTTCATCATCCTTCATATGTTTCTTTTAACCACAGCTTTATCTCCTCACCCTGTCATCGTCGTCTTCTGTCCTCATGTGTTCGGCGATGTATCTCACTCCATCCACTGCCTCCTCCACATCTGCATCCCACTGAGAAGCCAAGGGCTTCTGGAAGTCTGAAAACCCACTACCCCCATCTGGGACGTCCTCCACCTTCCAGCAAAACTTGTTTGCCAAGTCCTCATTCACGTAGAAAGAGTCGGCATCTGTTCGAACCCCTCCAAGTCTGACGTTGGAATACTGCCTCTTGCCTGTGCTGCTTTGGGAATTGGTTTTCCCGACGGTAGTCTGGTTGGTGGCGTACTTCTTGCGAAGTTTATCAAATTTGTTGGCAGAGCCTGGACGCCTCATGAAGAGGATGTCGGGGAGGCGGATTAAGAAGAAATGTTTGACCCACTCTGGCATGTGGTGGGTTGATGGGGAGCGGTGATGCACATTGAGGTTACAGACGGTGGTCACAATAGAGAAAGTGACCAGCACCATGGTGAACATCAAGTATTTACCTTAGAGGGAGAAAGACAAGATGCCAACATGAACAAATGAATAAGGCCTATATTTTATATCATTTAGTGTCAAAAAGGTCTGTCTGTATGAGGCCACTAATTATATCATTGCAACAACAGAACAATTTCACAATGACCCATTTGCTGCTCTGAGGCTCCAATTGTAACATCAACACTGTTAATATTTATTGAGCAATTGTAAAGGCTTCTACCAGTATTTATTCCATTGCTGTGAAGTTGTCGTTGTCTGTTTCACAGCTTATCAGAAAAGGAGGGACTATGCCCTTTAAGATTTCTAATGTGAGCTTTCTTTAACAGCAAATAGCTGGTTGAAATGAGCAGCCAACCTTATTTTTGGGATATATGTATATATCAGATATACTTGAGGGGTAATAATAATGAATAAAGTCCCATAACTCATCGTACTTGCAGTTTTTTCAGACTCAACTCAAATAATTGTTTGTAAGGACCCTTGCAGAAGTGTTTTCTTTACGATAATACATTAAAAAAATTATTAGTTGGACATTTGTACTTTGGCAATCTTTAGGCCTTCTAGCTCTATGCAGATGCAACCAAAATCAGCCAATCAATATTTCTTCCCTAGGATCAGTGGGGCACAATTGACTGAAGGATATGTTTAAAATGTTTGGTTCTGGTCTTAGCAGTGTTTAACAGTGTTGCTTGTGTGTGATGTGTTCATTTCAAACTGTATACAAATGTAGCTGTGATCTGGTCATAATATAGGTTTGGTTTGAGTTTTCTCCAATTTATTAAAGAGGACACATACCCTGTCTGAAACCTGTTGTGATTGGTCAACCGCTCCGAGATGTGTAGGATATGTCCCGCCCCTTAGCATATAACATAAAATATGTTGGAGTGCCAGCCAATAGAAGTGCAAGTGTGACATAGTGATGTCACTATGTCCCCGCAGCAAACAATGAAGTCCAAACAAGGTGTTTCAGGCAGAGTGTGTGTGCTCTCTCCCAAATGGAGCTTTTCCCTCTTCAAGCTACCTAACTTCACTCCTTCCACCTTTGAATTCCATGCCGTCACAGTAACCCATCCTATACAATTAACCATTGTTGTTCTCTACCGTCCACCAGGCGCCTTGGGGGACTTCTTGGAGGAATTAGATAATCTCCTCTCACACATCCCTGAAACTGGCCCTCCCGCTGTACTTCTCGAAGACTTCAACCTCCAGACAGGGAAGATATCTGAACTAACATCTCTTTTAACCACCTTTGCTTTCTCACTGTCTCCATCCCCACCAACTCATAAAGCTGGCAATGTCCTTGATCTCATATTCTCTTGAGAATATGAGATCAAGGACATTGCCAGCTTTATGAGTTGGTGGGGATGGAGACAGTGAGAAAGCAAAGGTGGTTAAAAGAGATGTTAGTTCAGATATCTTNGATCATATGCCAGTACAAGCTCTAGCCAATCAGACCGCTGCTTGTGTGTTAGGGGCGGGAGATTCATGTGATTGGTTGTTGGTCGAGTTTCAGACACGCCCGCCGGCAAGCTTCAACGCACGCCGCTGTGTAGACGGGCCGTTAGAGTACCCTAATTAGTGAGCTTCACTTTGTAAGTCTCCATTACCTGTATGTATTTGTATTGTAGTACTGTATGTTATTTTTTTCTTCATTTTCATGATTCTTAAATGTGGATATTGTTTGAAGACGTTCTCTTACCCCCTTTTAAACTGTCTACATGCTTTAGGGGGAGCAGTGTGCTGTGTGCCCCACTCTCGGAGAGTTAGCCGCTAACCTCCCCCCCAATGTCGGGCACCAATTCCTGACGCAGAAGGGAGAGCCTGGGATCGGAGAGAAAGGAGAGCAAGTGAGTCTGTTCCTAATGCGATCCCAGGGCTGATGGGGTGAAACAATAAGAAACAGTTTCATCTTGTCATTGTTTAAGGACTACTGTTTTACTGAAAGAAAGCAATAACATGGTAGGAGAAAACGGATTGGGTAATTGTTTTCATGATTTTTGTTAACGTCAGTGTGTTTGCTAGCATGTGTTTGCTAGCATGTGTTAGCAGCGATAAGCACCTTTTTTAAAATGATGTATCGTTTAATTTCTCCCGCTCCACAGGGAGAGCCAGGAAAAGCAGGATCACCTGGACTTGGAGGAGAGAATGTAAGTAATGTGACACACAAAAAAAGACAGCTCTGAGAGTCGGTGACCTCAATTGCAGACTAGGCTTACATAAGGGGAACTCACTCAATAGGCTGCACAGTGAGACTCGTAATAGACTTCATGAAAAAGATAATCACAGCAGTGCGCTAATTTTAGGGCCCAAAACTGTCCGCCATAGGGACTTTACTCTGCAGGGAATTTATTAGTGAAAAGCTTAGGTTTTGAAATCCAAAATCATCTGACATGGCTGCCTGTAGGGTGCACCTTAACTATGAAATGTGAATTACCAATTTAAAATACCCATCCATTTTATCAATTCAAATGCTGCAGTGATTCTATTTTTTACTTGACTGCAGGGTAGCGCAGGCAGCAGAGGAGCTGCCGGTAAGCCGGTAAGTTCAGATTCACTTCTTTGAAAGCGAATATTTCGAGGTACACCTGCTGATTCAGTGTTGTTAAATGAAATGTGTCCGTGTGGCAGGGGAAGCAGGGACCAAAGGGACCCGGTGGCAAGGCTGGACAGAAAGGCCCTAAGGTAAGAGAGCAGAGGCAGGAGGAACATTGATCAACATCATATAGGAAAGTACAGTTTTTCAGCTTCTTCAAGAACTTTTTCAGTACTTCCTCAAATGAAGTGCTAGATTACTAGACAGTTTATTGCTAATTATGCAATAGCAAGTTTCATTTCAAGGATATTGAACATTTTCCACATTACTTTTACAGATGAATTCCCAAGTATCTCACAATTATGTTCAGAAACTAATCTGTGTGCGCGTATTTTACGATACAATAATTAAATACTTCTCTCTCATTTGATTCCTTTTTTTTATGACATGAATCTGGTGACAGGGAGAGCAAGGACCGCCTGGTGTTAGTCAAGCTGGGCCCAAGGGCGAAAAGGTAACGGACAAATAATTAGTTTTTGCTTCATTTAGCTTGATTGTCATGCAAACTAACCTTCCTGACTCCTGACCCCTCCCCAGGGCGAGTGTGGTCTCTGCCAGCCGGCCGAGGTTGGTAGCGGACCCGCCGGCTACAAAATGCCTGACGGAGTTCGAGGCAACCCAGGCGCACCGGGCCAGCAAGGTCCAGCTGGACCTCCGGGTCAGGGAGCCGAGGGCAGACAGGTACCAGTGCTCTTTTAAAAAAAAAAGTATGGCTAGAAAAAGCGTATCTAAAAGCACAATCTAAGAAATTCCTACAAACAAAGAAGCTGCTTCTCTTTTGTGGTTTATCTTTGTTCCGAGTGTTTGCATTGTGGCATTGCTCAAAACGGGAGCAATATTGATCAATGGGGCTATAAAACGGAGTGATGGTATCTATTCACTCATAACACCGCAAACACAGAGAAACACACATATGAATTGTCAGATCAGAAAATTGTCTCGGCCTCAAAACTTTGTTGGTCCTTCCTTTAGAGGGCAGTATGATGCTCAAGAGCAAACAGAACAGGTATTCTTTCATTCCTGCTGCTCGCCTTGTCTTCAAGTTGTTATTACCGTATATTGTAAACATTGCTTGAGTTTGTTTCATTGTGCTTCATTATAACAAACTATGTTATTGGCTTTTATTGCATTTTATTAGTTATTATACTCATGACACATGCACATGGAACAGAACTGCAGTTTACAATCAAGCTCCTATAGAACCAAAATCATTATTTTATTACAACAGAAATGTATTTTGCTCATGACACCTCTATCTGAATGATCTGACTTTATTTGAATTAATAATAGAAATTTTAAAAAGCAAAGCAGCTTCTTGCCATCGCATTTTGTTGCCATAATAGAACCGATTAAGCTGCATCTGGATGAGCGAAACCTTTTTAAATGCTGAATGATTTCACCCTGCGGCAGAATCAACCATAATGCTTTTTGTACAAATAGGATATGCAGGAAGTCTCCTCCTACAGCAAGAATTGTTACTAAGTGTAATAAATCTCTGTTGGCTTCTGTCACCCCTTCCAATTACATGCCGTGTGCCTCTGCGGTTATCTTTATGTCAGTTATTTTTACCTGAACGGATAGAGGCTTGCATGATGATCGCAGGTGACTGCACATGTCTTGTCTTTATTGTATTTGTATTCATTTGTACATCACTTTCTATTTGCCTACGCAGGGCCCACCAGGACTTGCTGGTGCAATAGGAGAAAAGGTAACTTTGCTGTCACATGTAATTATAGATCTTGTCTGTAGAAAGCCGTTGTGTACTGTATTTGTATTTTCACACTCTGTGTATTCCATCAATGACCCAGCGACAAATTCACACCACATTAACCAGCCTTCACTTCAGCTGAGAAATTGAAACCAACTAATCAATGTCTCTTGGGCATTTTGTATGGTTTATAAATAACTCATGTCCACACACCCAAAACCTTAAATAAGAAACTGCATAACCTGGAGGAGTTACACTTCTCAGAGTCACTGCATGCCTTTAGAAACAGACTAGATCATTTGGCCTCTGCTGTAGGAGATCTGCGGGAAAACAACCACACATGGTACGGAATAGTATTTCAAAGGAGTCCAGGCACCCTGCGTTTTTTCACCAAGTTTTTTGGAACATTCACATTGCTTGAGCCCCAAAAAAACTGGGAAATAAATCTGCCATCAACCGAGCCCGTCTACTTTAAATTACCTTGAAGCCCTCCCACAATCCTTTTGCTTCGGCTTCAAAGCAGAATGAGAGGATTTCTAAGGTTGATACCACTCACATCGCTAAAAGACAGTAAAAGTAATCTCATAATCAAATTCAGAAATTCAAACCTGCCAATTATAAAAAGGAAAGTAATGCTTTCCTTCCTCATGAAACTCTTGCAAAAGTTATATTTTTAATATTATTTAAAGGTAGACTTACTAGCGCTGT